TTGAATAAGGCCAAAATTCCAACGTAGATTTTTTGTCACAGACTGCATAAAAATCCCAACACATAGTACTTTCATATGCATTAGAGTAAGAAAAATTTCATCAGATATTGGCAAAGCCACCATTTTTCTTACACCATAACAGCAATCAGTACAAGAAATAGACATTTGTTCTTCCTTTCATACATGATATGTTTTATTGAATAATAACTATATTTTCTAGTAGTTTGATTTCCTTAACTTATTTAATTGCCTAAGCTTAGTACATAATCAGTAGCACTGGACCATAAATGAAATGAACCATGCAAGAGACTACCTGGGTAGTACAGTATTCATGAATGGCCTAATATATTCAGAAATTATATCCCAATTGGTAACAATTGGGATACATGTCCCTCAAAAACCATTTATGTATAGAGGAATATCTCTACTATTATAACAAGATAATGGTAGCTATGAAGAAAAAGATGAGCTATGAAGAAAAATACTTTATTTTACAAAAAAGATTGGAGAATAACTTCACAAATTTCTTTTAAAATTAAAACTAATTTTAAAACAGGACACATTCATGTTTATATATTTTTCTGTAGATAGAGGCAGTGTTTACATCTCATGCTAATTTACATCTGGTGCTAAAGAGTATGAGTCTCATGTATTTTAGCTTTGGATAAAATGGTATACTACCTAGACAGAGACATGTTAGCTTCAAACTGTGCACATTTAAAATAACTGGGGAGTTTCTTTCACTTTATTATTTTGCTTATTTTTAATTTAAATGTTAAATTTAAACATTAAGTCACAAGCAATAAAGATGCTATAAAGACAATTTTCTTTATGTTATTTAAACATTAAATTTAATATTTAAATATTAAAATAATATTTATGGTTACTTTGATTTGCATAAATCTCCTTATTTGTGCTGCTATACTATGGATAAGAATGTACAAAAGTGTATTTCAGCAAAACCTTAGAACTGGCTGAGTTGTTGCCATGGTGAATTTTGAGTCTACAGAATAGGTATTTGCACTGATTATGCTATAAGTTTCACCCAAACAAAACATCACATTTATTAAACAGATAATGTTATGATATACAAACCAACTATGCATCTTAAAAATAAGCCTTAAAATCACTCAAACTTTAAATGATTAGATAAGGAAAGTTTTAAATAACTTAAAAGACTACCTTTTTTGTTCACATGTGGGAAATCTAGTTTTAGAAAAGTTCTGTCAAGAAATTAAAATTTAGAGGTTAATTTTCCAATATAAATGGATGAACTTTCAGGATGATGCATGTTAAATAAAACTTTGTTCTGGGCACCATCATCTGAATCTTTAGATTTACAAATGAGAACATAGAGCAACAATGTGAAATTCTGAGGGATTCATGGATTTCAGTACTACCAAATCCAGCCCATTCACATTGTAAATGATATTCTGGACCCGAGAAAAGTGACTTTCACACAGCAAATTGGAAAGAACCCTATTTTACTCTGAATAAATCTTGCATATTGATTATATTTCACGAGTGTGTTTTCCAAAGCAGTTTGCTCAATTATTCATTCATTTTCGTCTAACAATTTTCTGATTTTGTGATTTTATTATAAGTGACTAATCAGCTATCACAAAGAATCAAGAAAAACAAAAATGTTATAAAGCAATATATTCCTTTTTTTCTCTATGAAATTATAGATAAGTGCCTTTTTCCCTCCAACCACCCAATTTTTTAGACGAATCACTGGAAGCACCTTGTCTGATTATGAAATAGTGACTGGAAATAATTTATGTTAGTATTAATCACATGCATTTTAAATCCTTTATGTCAATACTACTTCATTTTAAAGCCACTTTAAAAAATATTCACATGCTTGGGTCAAATAATCAAACTAGCTGCTCAAAACCTTAATGTATTTGCCACAGGTAAAAATCTTGGAATTTCAGAGTCTCTATTTATAAGAAATTTATCTTACTACAGCTTTTTTGTCCATCGATTTTAAAATTTAACTCAGAAGTCTTATAATGATTATATTAATGTTTTGAAAAAAGCTTCATGGCACTAATCAAAATAGAGTCTGATTGCAGACTTTGTGTATTGTGATGGGTCAATTATTGTAAAGTTTCATTTGG